TGTGGAGAAGGAAAAAGAAATTTCTGCTAGTTTTTCAGTTGCACCTCAAACTATAAAAGTTATGGCCACAGTGCATGATAAATGCTTAGTTAAGATGGAAAAGGCACTAAATTTGTATAGTAAGGTATTCTAAAAAAGAGAGGGAAAGAGACCACAATCACATAACTTTTATTAAATATATTGTTATAGTGGGCTTCCCCAGTGGCTCAGTGGTAAAGAATCTGCCTGTAATGCGAGAGACCCAGGTTTGATCCCTGGGTCAGGAAGATCCCCTGGAGAAGGGAATAGCTACCCGCTCCAGTGTCCTTGCCTGGGAGATCCCATGGACAAAGAAGCCTGTGGGCTACAGTCCATGGGATCGCAAAGAGTCAGATACAGCTGAGCAACTAACACTTTCATAATTGCTCTGAAAAGTGAAAGTGAAAGTCGATCAGTCGTGTCCGACTCTGTGATCCTATGGACTATACAGTCCATGAAATTCTCCAGGCCAGAATACTGGACTGATAGCCTTTTCCTTCTCCAGGGGATCTTCCCAACCCAGGGATCGAACCCAGGTCTCCCGCATTGCAGGTGGATTCTTTACCAGCTGAGCCACAAGGGAAGACCAAGAATACTGGAGTGGGTAACCTATCCCTTCTCCAGGGGGTCTTCCCGATCCAGGAATTGAACCTGCAATGCAGGCAGATTCTTTACCAACTGAGCTGTCAGGGAAGCCCATAATTGTTCTAGTTAATTATTATTGTTGTTGATTCTTTTATTATTGTTGCTGTGCCTAATTTATAAATTAAATTTTATCTTTGGTACATATGTATAGGAAAAACATGGTATATACTGCGTTCAGCGGTTTTAGGCATCCACTGGGGGTCTTGGAACGTACTCCTAGAGGCTACTGTGTGTGCATGTGTGTTTAAGTCGATTCAGTCATGTTATGTTGTGCATAACAGTTGTGTAGGTGTGTGTGCCAGCCTTCCTGTTTTACATTCAAGTTCAGAGAAACCAGAGACAATGTGCATAGATTCATTTGCGCAGGACCTTGAGAAGCAAGTTGCAAAACTAGACACTTGATGAAGTCATTTCACTCTCAGTGGTGGTGGTGGTGGTGATTGTAACAAACACTGGTGCTCTCAACCCCCTTTAGCAGAAGGCTTCTCCAGCAATTAACTTTCCTCATAACAGGAAAATGAAAAGGGTAAGAGGCAGGTTTCCAGTTTGGGGACCCAAACTCTGACTGAGTTGCTATGATGACCACAGATAATAAGCATAAATCCTCATCATGTTTGGTGTTCAGGTACAGAGTAAAGAGATCCTGTCTGCCCGCACTTTCAACATATATGCTCTGTCATGCATCACCACGTGGCATCAACAGCATGGGGATTCCCTCATCAAATGATGAATCAATCTATTATTTCAATGTTAACGGGGCCAATCTGGCATCAATAATATTTCCTAATGACAGAAGGAATCCAAAAGTTAAGGCAATTCAAACCAAATTATTTCCCAAAAGAAGGAGGTCTTTCATTGAACTTGGTCCATTCTTACCATTACCAATCAGTGAAACCATTTTGTTCAAATTTAAAAAGTAACAAAATAGTTTTTAGGGCTAGAAAGGCCCTTAAATACAGACTAGTTTAACCCTTTCATCTGAAAGGGTGAACATACTGAGTCTCACCCAGTTTACAGAACTCAAACAGGCTTTCCCGGTGGCTCAGTTGGTAAAGAATCCACCTGCAATGCAGGAGACCCTGGTTTGATGCCTGCGTTGGAAAGATCCGCTGGAGAAGGGACAGGCTACTCACTCCAGTATTCCTGGGCTTCCCTGGTGGCTCAGTTGGTAAAGAATCCACTTGCAATATGGGAGACCTGGGTTCAATCCCTGAGTTGAGAAGATCCCCTGGAGGAGGACATGGCAACCACTCTAATATCCTTGCCTGGAAAATCCCCATGGACAGAGGAGCCTGTGGGGGTCAGGACTACAGGACTTGGGGTCACAAATAGTCAGACACGACTGAGCGACTTTCACTTTTCACAGAGCTCAAACAGGACGTTACCCCACCACTACAGTACCTCTCAATTTGGCAGTGGACACATTTAAAAAGAAGTCAGCATTTTAAGGCTCATCAATTTTTCTAAAGCAAAGAAAGTTGATAGCTTTGTATGAAGAAATTATGCCATCACCTTTCATTTTTTTTCCCCTTTTTACCAAAGATCATACTGCAATTTCTCTCTCTGCAACCTCATTTGAGAGTGTCCTTTATGATTCAAGCTTTCTTGAAATGAAGAGGGTAAATTGTGTTAAGTTAAAGTTGGGAGAATGGGAAGTTGATTGGCCATCCTGTCGTCAAGGAAATCAATCTGTCTCTATCTCTGTCTCATGCACACATACACACACCACCATCACCACCACAACACAATCCACCAGTTAATACAGTGCCATTTAAACTCTTCATCTGAGGTTTTAAAATTGTTTTAAAATACTCAAGAGCTCTACTCTGAAAATCTGTACAGAACTACTTCAAGGGAGTGATTCCTAGAATCAGACTTAGAGAGGCCTTTTTCTAATTCTGGGGAAACCACTGTCCTTTCGAGTCAGTGCTATGTCTCAGAAATGTATGACAGTCTCCAAGGTCAATGTCAAGTCCACAGCAGAATGAGACTGTTGGAAAGATAAGTTCTTCAGTACCTATTATACTCAGTGCAAGAAGCTATGCACTTAAAAAAAAAAAAAAATGGGGCAAGGGGTGGGAGGAGACCAAGCTAAAAGGGATCACAGAAAGTGAGATGGAATTGCCTGTTATTAAAAGTATGCACCATCTCCCCACTCTTCTTTTAGAGGAACACGTCTCCCTGGTCCACCAGTGTCGGGCTCGGCCAAGTAACTTGCTTTGGCCTAACTGCACACAGAGTGTGCTTTCTCCTGGACTTTTGGTTTCTGCATATAACTTGGTTTGGCTGATAGGATGTTGGCAGAAACTTAATATGTTCTCGCACCACTGGGCTTGCTCTCTTGATACTTTTCCTTCCCAAGACGAGCCTGCCCTGGCCCTCCTGCCTTTCCAAGGAGGATGAGGGAAGGGTGGGGCACAGCTGCCCTCGCTGAACCTGCAGAAGCCCCAGGAAGCCCAACTGAGCTTCCCAGACAGGCGAGCTCAGATCAGCCAACTCGAGCCAACCCTTAGGCACACAATCAATAATGACTTGTTCTTTAAGTCACTGCATTTTGGAGTAGTTTCTTATCCAGAAATGACAAACTAATCCGAGACCATCGAGTAGAATATCTTCATGTACCATATTTTCAGGGCTACATAGCAAACTAAATGAGAAGAACTTGGCCAAAACTGTGGGTCTCCTGGCATTTCCACAGAGTACATGTCAATCCCTCTTGAAAATCATCACTGAGAGAACAAGCATCACATGCCCCATGGATAGAAGGGCTCACAGACCAAGTGGACCCCATTAGGATATACAATAGGAACACCATAGAGCCTTGCTGCCCCTAGAAAAGTTATCAGAGACCTGAAAGTCTGGAAAAAAGCTACCCCAAATCATCCAGCAACTGAGGAGAAGCTGTGCAAGAACAGACTAAAATGATTAGGACTCCGGCCTAGAAGGACATAGGCTGAGAATCATTGTGATTCAAGTCTATTAAATATTGAAGAGGGTAAATGGTCTGACCATGGGTTTGTTTGTCAGATGCCAGAATTTTTTTTTTTAAAGGAGCATACTCTGAAGCATAAAAAGGGAAAATATAAGGGCTATAGGAGACGGGGGTGACAGAGGGTGAGATGGTTGGATGGCATCACTGACTCAATGGACACGAGTTTGAGCAAGCTCTGGGAGACAGTGAAGGACAGGGAAGCCTGGTGTGCTGCAGCTCACGGGGTCTCAAAGAGTCAGACACGACTTAGTGACTGAACAGCAACAAATGTACATATAGTTATGACTGATTTGCAATGATGTACAGCACAAACCAACACAACACTGTAAAGTGATTCCCTTCCTATTAAAATAAATAAAAGAAAAAATCTACACAGGATATTGGTATTCAATTTCTTAAGCTTGGTGATAGGTATATGTTCATTTTATTAATATTCTTTAAATTCTACATGTTACATGCTCTTTGGAATATATATCTCACAATTAAAAGAAAACATGAAGAATTTTTTTTTCAAAAAGGGAAAATACAGGAAAAATAAGGGGAAGGCCTATATTACTTTACATGGCTGAGAATTAGGGTGACCATGCAACCTAGTCTACCCAGGTCAGCCTTAGTTCCCACTGCTGTCCTGCAGTAAGTATGAGTAACAGCCCCTCTTACTTTGAAATGTGTACAGTGTTGGATACCAGATGATACGCCCATATGGCTGATGCATATTGTACCCACAGAGTTGATTAAAATGGGCCCAAATAAGGTTTATAAGGGGCTTTCCTAGTAGCTCAGTGGTAAAGAATCCGTCTGCTAATGCAGGAGATGTGAGTTTGATCCCTGGATTGGGAAGATTTCCTGGAGAAGGAAATGCCAACCCGTTCCAGTATTCTTGCCTGGAAAATCCCATGGACAGAGGAGCCTGGTGGGCTACAGTCCACGGGGTCCCAAAGGAGTTGGACACGACTGGGTGACTAAACAACAACAGTTTAGATAAGATCGTGGGGAAAGACTTGCCGTGGGTTGTCAAGGCAAATTAGACCGAGGTGTGGAGGGACACTGCCCACCTTGGAACACGCCTTTGATACAGTGATCAGAGACGGTCAAGGCACCCAGCGACTGACCCAGATGGGTGGGCTTTAAAGACTGGGAAATGGTGTTCTTTAGGCTAGCACCATGTACCCTGGGCCACCCTGGGATCTTCTCTAGGAGCCCCTTCTGTATAGCTGAGCATACTCTTTGTGGATACTCAAAAGTGATAAACACAGGCAACATGCCCATTCTCATCATTCCTTCCATGTCACTTCAATACACACAAATCAAAATACATGGGAGAAGAATGGAGTTTTCTTCTTACCCACTCAGAGGTCCATATTGCTTCCTGAGCTCCATGTGGCTTTCCCAGAAACCCTGCAGAAAATAGCACTATAGTAAAAATCAGATGAAACAGAATTTCAAATATTCAAACTTCTTCAAGAAAAAAGTCTGCAATCGTGAGAACACAATTACATCAACCATAAAAAAATAATTGAAGTGGTATTGTTTTCAGAACTGTTTCAGTTCTCAGTACTCCAGTACTTTGGAGTATTAGAATAAACTAGTGGCTTGAAAAAATAACATTGCCAAGAGACAGTCGCTGTCAACTCTGTTTTAATGGACAGATGAGATCATCTATACTTATACTATTTGTGTATAATTGCTGCTAAAATATTTGAAAACTGTTTGCTTTCTCAACTATGCTAACATTCCCCTCTGCAATTTGGTTTATATTATTATTATTTTTGGCAGAGCCTCTTTTCACAGCCACTATAGGCATAAATGTCTGCTGAGTGTACCCAAATTATCACAAACTCTGAATTATGATCCAAGTTAAATTTTAACTAAAATCAACATATTCAAGGCATAAGAACCTTAGAGCTACTTTATATATAAGATACATTTTGGGGTGGGAAAGAAGGGTTCCAGGAGATATACACAGCATGGAGCAGGGTCAGAAAATGCTTGACGCACTGTATTGTTGAGATGGAGTCTGTGTGTGGATATACACAGGGGGATAGTAAGGGTAAAGGGTTGAAAATGGCTGGATCCATTGTGTTATAGGAAAGAAATAAACATGAAACCATGCTTCAATTGGGATGGAAGTGGAAGAGAGGAGACCCCTAGACTTGTGTTGTTAGAATGGAGTGGACAAGTAGACACATAAAGGGTGGGTGAGAGTAGACAGCTGGGAAAGTAGAAGAAGTGGATGTTCTTAATGAAAATCCATCCCAGGCTCTTTCAGTCTAGCTCCACCATCTAGTTGCTGTTCAGTCACTTAGTCTTATCTGACTCTGCAATCCTATGGACTGCACCAGCCCAAGCTTCCCTGTCCTTCCCTATCTCCCAGAGTTTGCTCAAACTCATGTCCACTGAGTCAGCAACGCCATCCAAACATCTCATCCTCTGTTGCCCCATCTCCTCCTGCCCTCAATCTTTCCCAGCATCAGGATCTTTTCCAAAGAGTTGGCTCTTTGCATCAGGTGGCCGAAGTATTGGAGCTTCAGCATCAGTCCTTCCAATGAAAATTCAGGGTTGATTTCCTTTAGGATTGACTGGTTTGACCTCCTTGCTGTCCAAGGGACTCTCAAGAGTTTTCTCTACCACCGCAGTTCGAAAGCATCAATTTTTCAGCACTTAGTCTTCTTTATGGTCCAACTCTCCCGTCCCTACGTGACTACTGGGAAAACCATAGCTCCACCTCTATCTAAGCTTGCCATATATTAACACCAAGGAAAGCTCATATGACTGTAAAAACAGTCAATGAAATGACTATATTCTAGCAAGAACTTGGCAGGGTTTGCCCACACGAGAATGAGCAGCTAAAAAGGAGCACACGTGGAAATTAGCCAAAGGCAGGCACATTGTTCTCGGCACATCGACAGGGATATGGTTTAACTCAACATGTTGATACTGAATTAATTCAGTCAAGTCTGAATGCAACTGATCATTTTCCCCATAGAAATCTGTGAAATGGATTTGCTTTAATTTCCTATCTGGTTTGTTGTTGTGTTTTGACACTTAGAAATGTCTTCACACTTGCTTCACGGAGCTGATGGGGAGCCTTACTGTGATGCTGCTTGTGGGCTGAAAGTTGTGGCCTGGCCACCCCTGAGCTAGAGAGGAGAGAAGGAGGTGTTAAAAAATAACAGTGAGAAGATAGAAACAACAATAAACAGTGGGAAGGGGTGTTGGACCAAGAAAGGGACAGAAAGGAAGAGAAGAGAAACTGATGAGAAAGGAAAGGGACAGAAATAGCGTATGTTATTTTCTATCTGACGCCAAGGGCCAGCCTTTCCGGGGCAGGGGTGGGGAGAGCCTAAAGAGATCTTAGAGGGGTGTTATCAGAATTGGCCCCAATTTAGTCCTTCCTGCCTTTGTTTGGCTTAGTGGCTTCACATGTAGGATCTGTAGGCTCCTAATGTTGGGTCTGGGGGCAGCACTCCCCACAGGAATTGGCAGAATAAATCATCTGGCTTCTGAGAAAACCCAACGTGAGAAACAAAAATAACCTGCGAAGATAAAGTCCCAGGACTTTATCTCCAAATGCCCAGAGGGCATTCGAGTCACTCTGGCAAATCAAAGTCACCTCCCTAAACCAGCTGACCTCCCGACCTTTTATTTTCCTGGACTCCTGGCCATTAGCACTGTTATCTGGCTCCAAACTTAAAGACGAGTTGACTCATTCTGCCTTGACTTCTCCTCACCTAATTCACCACGAGAGTTACTAATTTTGCCCTCAAAATTCTTCTCTTTTGCTCTCATCTCCACCCTGACCAAGCCCTCACCACTTCACAGCAAGGCCTCAACAACAGTTGGATTCTACAGACCTGATCTAAATCTTGCAGAGAAATCTTCCCCTTCGCTGTCCCACTCCTACTCACCGGTAGGACATGCACAGCTTTTCACTTGCCTTTCTGAACTGTCAGTGATCTAAGTAAGTGTTCGTTGCTCAGTTGTGTTAGACTCTTTACGACCCCATGGACTGTAGCCCACCAGGCTCCTCTGTCCATGGCATTCTCCAGGCAAGAATACTGGAGTGGGTTGCCGTGCCCTTCTCCAGGGATCTTCCCAACCCAGGGATCGAACCCATATCTTTCACATCTCCTGCATTGGCAGGTGGGTTCTTCACCTCTAGCGCCACCTGGGAAGCCTGCTCTTCTCTCTCACAGCAGTGTTCCCTGGTGCTTCCCAATCTCTGCTTTTTAGTCCACGCTGCTCCCCAAGCTGTGCCCTGTTCCTTATATGGCGCCATCACACACATCATTGCTCCCACCTGGTGTGGGTCTCCTTGTCTTTGTGTCTATTGCCCCTGAAGACCCCCCCCCCTCCAGGAAGTCCTCCAGGATGACTCTAGCCCTGACGGATCTCCCCCTCCTCTGAAGGACCAACCACAACTGCCATGTCTAACCACCCACACTAGCGCTAGGGCATGGGCAACTTTTACTTTCTTCCACATTCCCGGGCCTGGCACACTTAGACACTCATTAAATGGGTTTTTGCATGAATGACAGGATACCAGGACTCTATATGTGTTGATGAGTGATCAGTGATGGATCATTCTCATCACAAACACTGATGCAATTCACACACAGACCTCCCTGAGTGTGGGTGACCTGAATGGAAGCAATGCTTTGTGGGTAAAGCTGCTCTGGGCTCAGAGCATCTTATAATAGAAGACAGTGGAAGGTAACCCTTACCTGGTGGAAAAACGCTAAGTTTCCAATAAAAGGAGAAGGCTTGGGATGTCTGATGCCCAACTTCTCTAGTCTTGAAAATGCTGATGTGGAGTACCTGAGGGGAAAAGCACATCTTTGAGACACAGGTTTACATTCACACTTTTGGCCCTATCAGATATCAGAATTGTTGAGCTCTCCAGATGTAAGGGTAGGAGAAGTTTCCAAGTGACAACATCTTAGGACTGAAGAGGTGGAGGCCTAGAGGTGTGTGAGTGGCATGAACTCAGTAAATTCCTCCTGATTAACAGGATAGAGATTAAGACATCCTCAGATGTCTTAGCTGAAAGTCCCCTTAGAGATGATGTAGCCCAGACACCCCTTCCCCACCTACAGTTTCTGTCAATAAATAGTATTTAAAAAAAAAAGAAAAAAAAATATTTAAAACTGCACTATGGGAATTCCCTGGCAGTTGAGTGCTTTCAACTCTGCACTTTTACTGCCAAGGGTCTGGGTTCGATCCTGGTCGGAGAACTAAGATTCCACAAGCTGCACAGCATAGCCCCAGCCCACCCCTAAAAAGCTGCACCTCTGCCCATTTCAGCTCCTCAACCTTTAAATCTACCATCAACAATTCTCTCGCAAGGTGAGGTGAAAAAAGTAACAATGGCAAAAATCAGTTCCCTGCACAAATCTGTGGGTTTTTTTGGTCAAACTGACCCCTGCACATAATTTATCCCTCATCACATTCCATGACCTAATAGGGAAAAATAAAAAACAGGGAAGGAAGAGACACTCTATGGAACAAGACCTCATCACCAACTGCTTGCAAACCCTTTATGTCTTTGTTTTCATGGCCTGAGACCATATGGGAAGCATATTTTCCTAGCCCCAAATCAGGTAACATGGCCCCATAGATTTCTGTGCCACCTTCCAGTAGAAAGCGACAGTTTGAGAAGTACAGTGTTGCTGTCAAAACATTGGAATTACTAGGATATTTCAACAGTTTATGGGAACAGAGGGATAACACAGTGAAAGTCAGAACTAGCTTAGAAAAACCTGGGCATATGGCTGTAATCCCTAATCAGCCAGCCAATTATGTCAAAAGTTCAGTTAGTTCAGAAAAATTAATGAATCAAACTGGGTGTTTAGCATCGTACAAAGATCAGCCAAATCTCAATTTCAGAGCAAGGGAAAATATAGAGAATATCCATTCAGTCAGACTTCACAGGAGCACTGGAACTTAAAAAATCCTACAGCTCCAAGCCTCACTTATCATTAGAAAGATGGAATGTTTGCTGTAGACTCTGACCTTCCTGTTCTTGCCTGCAGTCCAAGAAGGAGCACTTAAGCACATTGCAATGAATACTCAAATATTCAGGGAAAGGACAACAGGTTAACTGTTGATTTGTGTTACTTTGAGCAATGATGCCTACCTTTAAAGTGGCCACAGGGAGAATCAAGCCAGGGTGAAAAGGGGAGGTGGGTTCTCCTCCCAGTTCTCCAAACCAAGGTTTCCACTGAGTGGCTGTACTATTGAGTTTGAATGGGTCCCCGGACATCACATTTAAGTCCACGTTCAAGGGTAATTACAAACCACACTCAAGAGCCTCGTGTGAATTACATGGACTAGTCATGCCAACATTCCTCTTCATTAGTGCATATGCCAAAGGTTGACAGCAGAGTGTGTAAAAGTATTTCAAGTAGACTGTGATGTTTTAAATAATCCCCTTAACACTTAAGACGAAAGACCAAAGGTGACTTACCAGTCTACTTAACACTTCCCTCAACGGCCTCAAATCTGGTTGCTGGTTCATTTTTTCATCAATTTTTATGAATTATTTTCTAAAACGTAATCTCTAATGGGTAGAAAGAAATATGTCGATCTTGGGCCACGTAATTACATCTTAATTTTGTAATTAGATGTCTTGATTGTCTAATTAAAGGACAAGAAGTCTGTACCTAATTACACATGCTAATTATCATGCAAGCCCATGCCCTAATTATGTAACTCCACTTACAAAAATACCTCTTGTGTGTCTCTGCACAAAATTCAGACATTTCCAAACATATGGCATCAGCAGAGAATGTTCTGGACATAACCATAAACTTCACTTTGCAGCCCAGAGTCAAGTATAGAACTGAAGCGTCTTCAGCTAGGAATGGGCCAAATGTTGCCGTCAGTAACTAGAGACCTTGCACTGAATTCAACAGGGAGAGATCATTGCCTCCAGACTTCTGAGCAGAATTACAAAGTGTGCTCCGTTCATCTTGCTCGAAGTTCCTTCTCTGCATCCATGTTTCATATTCTCCCCTCCCAGACGCCCCTCTGTCTGTCTCAGTAGGTTCTTAACCCAGAATCTATGGACTCTAGGAATTAGGGGTTGAATTGTGTCACCCCTCCAAAAATCAGTTGGATTCCTGTTCTCAAAATACTACCTTATTTGGAGATAGGGTGGTTGCAAATGTAATTAGTTAAAGATGAGGGACTTCTCAGGGGTGCTAGTGGTAAAGAACCCACCTGCCACTGCAGGCAATGAAAGAGATGCGGATTCAACCCCTGGCTTGGGAAGATCCCCTGGAGAAGGAAATGGCAATGCACTCCAGTATTCTTGCCTGGAGAATCCCACGGACAGAGGGGCCTGGGGGGCTACAGTCCATGGGGCTGCAGAGTTGGACGTGACTGAAGCAACTTAGGATTGAGGAAGGTCATACTGAAGTAGAGTGGATCTCTAAGCCATTGTGGCTGGTGTCCTTACAGGAGGATGCCTCGTGAAGACATGGAGACACAGGGAGAATGCCATGTGATAACAAAGGCAGAAATTGGAGTTACATGCCTGCAAGCCAGGAAATACCAAAGATTGTCAGCAGATGACTGGAACCTAGGAAAAAGAAGGATGGATTCTCCTCTACAGAGGAAACATAGCTCTGCAAAAAGCATTCATTTCAGACTTCTGGCTTCCAGAATTGTGAGACAAACTCTGGTGTTTTAAGCCCAGTTTGTGTTATTTTAATATGGCAGCCCTAGGAAACGGGTACACCAGGAATACCCATGGATGAGTTTAGAGAGTTCATGAAAAAAGATTTTTTAAAAAAATTTCCTGTTACCTTAAAAATTATCATTTTGAAAGAAATTTCTTTTTTGTCTCAAATTATACCATTAAGCCCTGAGCTATTAGAAAAGAACTGGCAGGGACTTCCTGGCGGTCCAGTGGTTAAGATTTCATGTCTCCACTGCATGGGGCGTGTATTCAATCCTTAGTCTAGGAACTGAGATCCTGCATGCCACATGGTGAAGCCAAAAGAAAAAAAAAAAACAACAGTTCTGGTGGTCCAGGATGCTAGTAAATCAGATAATATTCAGCCATCATGTGGCCACCATGTTGCGATATTTAGAACAGCTTCTCTGATGGGAGTTAATGCAAGTGTATTTCACAATTTTGATCTTGAACATCTATCATTGTTTATATTAAGGATACTTAACTTGGAAAATGACAATGGAAAGTATATGAAGTAGCTTCAAATAGCATTCTTTGGTTTTATGCTTACAACCAAAGTGTCATTTATCCCCAAAGGATTCAAACCCTGCAGTACCAGTGATGCTCCTTCTACTGTCCATTCTCAAAAAAAACCACCACCAACAACAAAAAAAAACAAAAACCACATGGAACCACATGGGATTGTTTTCAATAAGAAATTCCTCAATACTTTGTCTTCCACAAGACAAAGCCCTTTCCTGATGCATTCAACAAGAGTGGTCAACCAATTGCTTAGCCAAAGAAGCCACTCATAATAAACTGAGGGATATTTTGATAAATTATGTATTAAATTGATGTATTATAGAGATGACTGAGCTGGGTGAATTGAAGTGAGAGTCATTCACTCCTGTCTGATTCTTTGCGACCCTGTGGACTGTAGCCCACCAGGCTCCTCTGTCCATGGGATTCTCCAAGAAAGAATACTGGAGTGGGTTGTCATTCCTTTCTCCAGGGGATCTTCCTGACTCAAGGATCAGACCTGGGTCTCCTGCACTGCAAGCAGATTCTTTACCATCTGAACTACCAGGGAAGCTGAGATTAGAGCCAAAGTAGAAAAGAGTCAAACGGTGGTCTGTTCTACAAGTTTCCCTCACTGTGTATCTTAAGCTGCAGCCACAGAGGACTTGGCCTTTCTCTTCTGTGCTTTTGGGAACCACAGATCCTCAATCCATTCTTTATGTCTTCACGATCCCTATCAAAGAATTTCTACTTAGTGAGCTGCTTTCGGAAATTTCGGAGTCTATTGATATTTTTTGAAATAGTGGAAGATTCCTTTGGCAAATAGCAATTTTCCTTGGATAAAAATCATGGTGTGCCAGGAAGAGATGAAGCCCAAAGGTGCCAGGTAACCCACCTGTCCCACCTCTGGAGAAGAAAAGGCCTTTGTCATGTTTACGCTTTCCTTGTGAAATGCACAGCCATTAAAGGCTTAGCCAGCAATTCCATAAAAGGCTGTGTGGCCACATGGGAAACTTTATTAGATAAGGACTTACATTTTTGGCTCGTCAAAAGATTTTAAGACACAGGAGCAGAAGATGAGATTTGCCAGCTTTCCAGAAAATAAATCTTGAGATCCTTGACAGAAATTTGGGCAAAAGAGCTAGAAATATCAAGGGAGAAAGCCTATTCCCATTTTATTAAAATTGTAAATTTTTTCTGAGTATATTTTTATGTATTTGAGATCCTAGTCTCTGTAATTATTTTCTATTTCTTTATTTTTCTACTTTTTCCATTCAACATAAGGAAGATATCTCCATGTTATAAATCCCTTATGAATATTATTTTTATGGTTATATATGCCTCTTGTGGACATATCAAAGTTTACTAAACTATTTTTATTGTTAAATATTTAGGATGTTTCCAGCTTTTTAGCTAATTTAAGTTAGGCCACTACAACTCTATACATCAAGCTTTTAGAATATTTTACACATGAAGCTTTTCTGGATCTGAAATCCCTGAGTCACTGGTTTTAAACACTGGCGTGCAATACCAGATTGTTTTCCAGAAAGCTTGCCCCAGTTAGCCTCAGTATCAGTGTACATCCATTTGAACAAACACTCTCATTAAATTTTTCCGAGTT